ACCCAAGCAGATATATGCACACGGTCACTATGAGTCACAAGCGACTCGATGACACATAACAACAACAACAACAACAACAATGTTTATCGGGCTTTGTTCACAAAGTTGGAAACAACCCAGGTGCCCATCAACAAACGAATAGATAGAGAATCTGTGGTATATCCACAGAATGGAATACTATGCTGCAATGAAAAACAAGGAACTCATGCAATATTATTCAAAATGAGTGACCCTGGAGGACATTATGCTGAGTGAAATATCTCAGTCACAAAAAGACAAATACTGCAGAGTGCCACTGTTGTAGAATGGAACTGATATCAGGATTGGGATAAGACTGAAAAAAAAACTGGATAAATTATGTATACTGCATTGAAACAGATGAGGGAGAGAATAATTTAAAAGTGATATATGATAGGGTATTATGGTTATCATTCATGAAATTCCTCTGTGTCAGCCAATTCCTTCTGATACAGTGACTCTGTGTACTCCTTCCATTTTCTTTCGATACTTCCTGGATCATTCAACATTCTACCCAAAGTATACTTAAGTATTGCCACCCATGGCTTGAATTTGTTTTTCAACTCCTTCAGCTTAAGAAATGCTGAACAAGTCCGGCCCTTTTGATTTTCTGATTCCAGCTCTTTTTATTATAGTATCTTGCTTTGTCGTCCCGGGCTGCCTTTCAAAATTTTCTGTTCAGCTCTTTGATTTCTTCCTTTAGCTTTGGCTTCTCAGTGCTCTAATGCAATACTCAGAGTCTCATCTGACATCCATCTTGGTCTTTTCTTCTTCTTCAGCATTTATAATTATCTTTTGCATTCCTCATGCACAATTTTCTCGATATCCTTCCACAGCTCATTTGGTCTATGCTCATTGGTGTTCAAGGATTCAAACCTGCTCCTGAGATGGTTTTGAAATTTGAGTGGGACAGACTTAAGGTCAGGAGGAAGTTCAAGCTGCTCTGAAGGAATTGGCAAAAAACAAGGCTCCAGGAATTGACAGCATGCCAATTGATTTATTTCAACAAACAGATGCTGCCCTGGATGTGCTCACTAAGCTGTGCCAGGAAATCTGGAGGACAGCCAACTAGCCAACTAGCTGGAAGAGATCGATATTTGTTCCCATTCCAAAGAAAGGTGACCCAACAAAGTGTGGAAATTCTCAAACAATATCGTTGATATCACATGCAAGCAAGATTCTGCTGAAAATTATCCAAAAACACTTGGAACAATATGTCAACAGAGAATTGTCTGATGTGCAGGCTTGATTTAGAAGAGGTCGTGGTACTAGGGACATTATAGCTAATGCTAGATGGATCTTGGCAGAAAGCAAAGAATACCAGAAGAATGTCTATCTGTGTGTGTTTCATTGACTATGCAAAGGCTTTTGACTGTATGGATCACAACAAGCTGTGACTGACTCTGAGAAGAATGGGAATCCCAGAACATTTGATTGTGCTAATGCGAAACCTATACTTGGACCAAGAGGCAGTCATCAGAACAGTGCATGGGGACACTGGATGGGTCAAAATCAAGAAAGGGATCTGTTGGGGATGTATATTGTCTCCATACCTTCTCAATCTGTATGCAGAAGTGATCATCCAAGATGCTGGGCTGTACGGGGAGGAATGTGGCATCAGGATTGGTGGAAGAATCATCAACAACCTGCGTTATGCCGATGACACAGCCCTGCTTGCTGAAACTGAGAAGGACCTGAAGCACTTGCTGCAGAAAGTCAAGGACTGCACCCTTCAATAAGGATTGAAGCTCAACATCAAGAAAACAAAGATTCTCACCACTGGGCCAATTGGCAGCATCAGTATGGATGGTGAAGAGATTGAGACAGTTAACCGTTTTAGTTTACTTGGTTCCACAATCAACACTCTTGGTAACAGCAGCCAGGAAATTAGGATATGAATTGCACTGGGCAAGTCAGCTGTGAGAGCCCTCTCAGGAGTACTGAAGAACAACAACGTCAGGCTGGAGATTAAGGTGCACCTGATGCAGGCTATAGTCTTCACAATTACGTGCTATGCATCAGAGAGTTGGACAGTGAATAGGGATGATAAAAAGAGAATTGATGCCTTTGAGCTGTAGTGCCAGAGAAGAGTGTTTAATATACCATGGACTGCTAGGAGAACAAACAGGTTTGCCCTGGAGAGAGGGGGAAGCCAGAATGCTCCTTGTAGTCAGGATTCTGAAGCTTCATCTGACATATTTTGGGCATGTTGCAAGGAGGGACTGGCCCTTGCAGAGGGACATCATGTTTGGGAGAGTGGAGGGACGGCGCAGGAGAGGAAGACCTTTGATGAGATGGATCGATTCTGTGAGTGGAGTTGTGGGAATGAGTGTGTTTGAGATGGCAAGGTTGGGACAGGATCGAACGACATTTAGGGCTTTTGTACATAGGGTCTCTATGAGTCGTAAGCGACTCGACGGCACATAACAACAACGATTATGGTTATCACAGGAGTCCAGAATTAAGGTTGCATAGTAAAGTGTACTCGGGGCAATGGGAGGGGTGCGGGCAGATTGTATACCAAAAAGAATTTTTCTTTTATTTTTCAAAGAGAGGAGCGAAGTGGGGGGTATGGGGCGAAGGGTCTGGGCAGGGAGAAAAGTGCAACAATGAATGAATGGAAATCCAAAATCTCTGTAAATGTTCATTAAATTTAATAAAATTTTAATAAAAAGGAATTGGCAAACACAGAAGAATAATTAATTGATATTGAAGGGAAAAATATTGCTATAGTGGATAATTGTTGCACACCCAAATCAAAGGCAGTAAGTGGTATGAATCCATTAGATGCTATAAGACAATCTTGTTCTATCCAATTTATAGTTTTCTAAAAACATACTTTGCACTGGGAATATCTGCAGTTAAGGACCTCTCCAAATTATTGATGAGTGATGATGTCCATTTGAGAATTAAGGTGCATGTGATTCAGCCCATAAACTTTTCAATCACTTGCTATGTATCTAAGAGCTAGACAGTGAATGAGAATGACAGAAGAAGGAGCTACTCCTTTGACTGTGGTGTTTGAGAAGAGCACTGAACATTCCATGTGTGGCCAAAAGAACCAACCAATATGTCTTGGAGAAAGTGTAGACATTCCAGTCTTTGGAGTCAAGAATGATGAGGCTTCACCTCACCTACTTTATGTATTTGCTAGGAGGAGCTACTCCTTGGAGGACAAAATTCTGGGAAGGATGGAGGGTGGGCAAAGGAGAGGAGGACCCTCGACCAGGTGGATTTATGTGCTCACTGCGGCAATAAGCTCTTTTGTGTCAGGAAGTATAAGGATGTCACAGGATAGAGAAGGGTTCAGATATTTTGTTCATAGGGCCACAAAGAGTCATACTCTACTTGATGGCACCTAACAACAATAAAAACTTACTACAGGCTCAATTATGAGTCAGTTTTAACTTGAAGGCAATGAGATTTTTTGTTAAATAAGAACTCAGTTATAACATTGACTTTTCAATTTTCCCCTATAAAATATACATATTTATAATAATTTTGAATTCACGGTATAAGAGAGAGTTAAATTACACTGTGGAATCAGGGATCCTTACTTAGGTCATGTTGTTGTTATTGGTTGCTGTCTAGTTGAATGACCCTATGAACTAAAATACTGAAGCATTTCTATAGCTATCTACATTTATCAAAGTTCATAGAGTTTCCAGAGGCATGTTTTTAGGAAGTGAATGCCACACCTGTTTCCAAACTTAGGTCATGCTAGATAGAAATGACAATAAGAACAAACCTCAGATCAAATTGATGCTCAAAAGTCCTAAGTGTTCTGGGATTGTTCTTAATCAATGTTAACCACAATTTGTTCTGATCCACTTAGTAAAATGTCTTTGCATAGTCAATGAAACATAGACATTCCTCTAGTACTATCTGCTTTCAGCCTGGATGCATATGACATTGGTGATGATGTCCCTAGTGTATGGCCTCTTCTAAACCTAGCTTGCATTCTCTGTCAATGTACTGTTTCAATCTTTTTTTTTTTTTAAGAATCTTCAGCAAGAATTTGCTTGTGTGTGCTATTAGTGATACTGTTCAATAATTTCCATACTCTTTTGGATTACACTTTTTTTAAAAAAAATGAGAATAAATATATATCTCATCCAGTCAGTTAGCCAGGTAGCTGTCCTCCAGATTTCTTGGCACAACCTGGTGAGCACATCCAGAGTGGCATCTATTTGTTGAAATATGTCAGTTGGTATCGTATCAATTCCTGGGACCTTTATATTTTTACGAATTCATTAAGAGAAGCTTGAATCATATGTTATTTCATAAAATTATTCTGTGTCAATTATTTTTTGTATAGTTACCCTGTGTATTCCTTTCACCTTCTTTTATGCTTCCTAGATCCTTTCATAGTCTGCTCACAGCATCTTTAAGTGTTCCAACTCAAGGTGTGAATTTGTTCTTCAGTCCCTTCAGCTTAAAAAATACTAAGCAAGTTTATTACTTTGATTTTCTGACTTCAGTTCTTTTCACATTTCATTATAATACTTTGTTTTGTTTTTATGGGTTGCTTTTTGAAATCTTCTGTTCATCTTCTAAACTTCCTGAATTCTTCCCTTTGCTTTGGCTTCTCGGCATTCTAGTGCAACATTCATGATTTTTTCTGACATTTCGGTCTTTTCTTCCTCCTCTGCCTTGTAATGACCTTTTGCATTCTGCATGGATAATATTCTTGATATCCTTCCATAACTCATCTAGTCTTCATTCCTCAAAACTGTTATGTAAATGTGGGGTGTTTGTGAACCACCAATGGAACTGTAAAGCTTGCTAATAATATAAAAGTCCTCATTTGGGGGAGAACATACAAATAATTAATATAAACTATGATTTTAGTGGTTGGCCAGTTTTGCCCTTCCATCAAGCTTAAACGTAGTAATTTCAACACACAAAAGATGAGTATAACAATAAGAAGTAGCAACAGTGTGTCCTTTATGCCAGAGATTCCTGTCTCAAAATTAGCCAGAATGGGAATGAGAGACATGGTAGCAGTACCAGCAGCCCTAGAGGGGGTGAAGAAGCAGGTAATGTATGAAAGATACTTAGCTAAGCAAGGGTTTTTACCTCATAGAGTCAGAACCTTGCCCTAAACTTACTGACCACATTTGGAACAGAACACGTAACTGAAAGAAATGCTCTTGGTAGGACTCAGCCTCAAGTCAGAGTCTAGAGCTAAGGAAGGGGCAAAGCGCAAATGCCAGAAAAGAAACTGTCCTGACTGAATAATTGTATCCTGATTGTTTCCAACCTGATATGTAACCTGTTACTTCACTAATTAGTCCCATACTTTTTTAGTGCTGTTGATGAATTCTGCTTGACCAGTGCAATGAATTATTAAAGCCAGCAGTAGACTGTGTAGAACCTTGAGAAGGGAGATTTGTTAGCACTCACAGCAGAAGGTGCAGAATCTCTTAAGAATCAGTTTTCTGCTGTTGATGGTCTTTTCCTTTGTGGAATTAGTGGAAGTTAGACTGCTGTTGATGGAATTCGTTCCTCTGTAGAGCTAGTGGAAGTCAGCCTTTGCTCTAGCCATGCCAGTTGCACTCCTTTTACATATAGTCGTTATCTTTTATTTTGTTTTTTGGATTTCACTGCCTTTAATATGCCAAATAACAAAACTCCCAAGCAAATAAAAGTTGCAAACCCTATTACATTTGCTTGAAAACACTTTTATTAGATGTTAAAAATAAAAAATATCTTCTTGAACACTAAAGTGCGTTTCACATAAACTTAGTATTTTAATTCTCTTATATGGATTTGAAAATTGGACAATGAATATGAAAGATCAAAGGTAAACTGGTATATTTGAATCATGTTGACAAAGAATATAGAATATATCATAAACTTACAGAAAAAAGAAAAACTCTTTTATAATGTCTAGCTATAATGTGCCTTACAAGCAAAGTCTAGACTTCCTATCATGTGCTTTAGAAATATTATCAAGAGCTCATATCAAGAAAACAAAGATTGTCACCACTGGGATTTCTGGATGCATCATGATAGATGGTGATGAGATTGAGATTGTTAACAGTTTCAGTTTGCTTGGCTCTACAATCAACACTCTTGGTAGCAGCAACCAGGAAATTAAAAGACAAATTGCACTGGGGTAAGTCTGCTGCCAAAGACCTCTCCAAAGTGCTGAAGAGCAACAGTATCAGTCTGGAGACTAAGGTGCACATTATAGAGTCTACAGTCTTTGCAATTACTTGCTATGCATCAGAAAGCTGGATAATGACTAGGGATGATAGAAGGAGGATTGATGCCTTTGAACTGTGGAGCTGGGGAAGAGTACTGAATATACCATAGACTACAAGGAGAACAAACAAGTCTGTCCAGGAAAGGGTGAAGCCAGGCCGCTCCTTGGAGGCAAGGATTCTGAAGCTTCATCTGACATCCTTTGGACATGTTGCAAGGTGGGATCAATCCTTGGAGAGGGGTGTGGTGCTTTGGATGGTGGAGGGACAGTGCAGGAAAGGAACACTCTCAATGAGATGGATTGATTCAGTGACTGGGGTAATGGGGATAGGCGTGTCCGAGACAATAAGATTGGCACAGGATAGATTAGGGTTTAGGGCTGTTGTATATAGGGTCGCTAGGAGTTGCAGACAACAGGATGGCACAAAACAACAACTGGTGGCCTAGTGGCAAGATGCCAGAGCTGCAATCCCTAAGGCATGCAGCTCAAATCCACCAGCTTCTCTGAGGGAGAAATATGAGCCAACTCCTCCAGCGATTAACTGCCTCTGAATACCCGCCGAAGGCTCAACTATGGGTTGGTTCCTACTCAATGGTACAGAACAACAACCATCAGTCACCAGAAAAGGACATCATCCTTGTAAAACAAATGATGAGGGGAGGAAAAAGGGAAACCTTCAACAAATTGGGATGGTATAGTGACTACTAGCTATGGGTTCACTTATAGCAATAATTGTGAAGATGGTCCAGGACTGGCCATTCTGTTTCTAATATGGTCAACATGAATCAGAAGCAACTTGACCGTACTTAAAAAACAAACAAGAAAAACAATAAAAATATTCTATA